ATATGTTAAAATAAAAGCAACCAGAGTAAAACCTAAAATCAGACATGAGAATGAAAGCATTCCTTGGTTCTGCATGAACCTGTAATTGAAGGTAGATAATTCAGATCGATATCAGACAGATATATCTGCTTCTTGTTTGTAGTTTTTCCGTCATCATGGACCCGACTTGCTGCGATGCCGTGGCTCCGCCCTCTCTGACCGTCCAGGTGTGTTTTCCCGGCGTCCGTGCTGCCGTTCTGGACAACCTGAACCGGCAGCGTGAGGAAGGCCGACTGTGTGACCTTTCCATCCAGGTTCAAGGTCAGGTGTTCAGGGCCCATCGCTGCGTCCTCGCTGCATCCTCGCCTTACTTCCACGACCAGGTGGGTTCCTTCGTGTTTGCCGACTCTTTTCTCACCTGAGTGTGAAAAGACACCCAGGTGTTAACTGTTATAGATTTATTAAATTAAAATGAGTTCCAGTTGATTAATAACTTTCACTCAGTCTTTTACTGTTGTAGTTTGGCCTCCATCCAGCAGAGGGAGCTGCTGGTCATCCTTAAGGGAGCTAGATGATACAATAACAAAAATTTCCAGAACAGGAAAGAAAAACCAACAGTTTGATGTGGGATGCAAAAGGTTTCTGCCAAAAAACTCAGAAATTTTGAGATTAATCTAAAAAAATCTTCTAAAAAAACTTGAAAATTGTTTTCAAGCGTCAAAATTTTTGACTCTTTAACTTGAAAATTTCCAGGTTTACTTTTTCAAGAAAATTTCTTAGATTAACCTAAAAATTTTTTATTACTTTTTAGCAAAAATTTTAGCAAAATTTTGACTTTTCAAACTCATAAATGTTCTTGTTTTTCTAGTAATTAAAAAAAAAAATTAATTTCAAAACTTGTGAGTTTTTTAGTGGACATTTATTCCTCCTTTTCTACGTCCAATGGCCTTAATATGCTGTTGTAATAACGTAATAACAGAAACATAAAAAAATTATAACATGACGGAAAATGACATGCTGGTTGGTATTGAGGTATGTGATGAATTAATGCACTTCATGGAGAAAAGAGCATTTAGAGACTGTATGAGTATTTCTCTATTCATGAGCAGTTAGGTGTTTCACTTTTTATTCTTTCTATCTTTTGTCTTTTTATTCAGCAACCCCAGAAGTTCATCTTCTGCTGTGTTTTATAAATATATCAAAGTGTAATAATGTCGGAAAACCACAATTTTTGTTTTATTTATGGAGTATTTAATACAGCAGACACAAAATGATGTTTTTTTTACTTATATTCTGAAAAATGTTGTCCTTATTGATTAATAGTTACTTGATCAACTTTAGATTAATCATTAATCGTTGACTTGTCAGGGATTCTCCCGGAAAACTGGATGATCTTGGTGGTTTTTGAGTTAAAGAAGGAATTTTGAAAATATCACAGTTATGTGTTATTAGAAGACATGGTTAACAATACCAAACTTCAGGTGAAAAAGGAAAACATAAAAACAAAAACTAAAATATGAAACAAAACTTAGCCTGTGCACACGTAGAGCTTGGTGGCCCGCCAGGCTTACGATGCCCTGGGGGAACCCTGCTGTGATGATCTGTTCTTTGACCAGGTGTTTTTCTCTCAGGTGTTACTGAAGAACGTAACGACCGTGTCGCTTCCCTCCGTCTTGGACCCGGTCGCCTTCCAGAGTGTCCTGAGTTCTGCCTACACCGGCCAGCTGAGCATCATCCACGACGACATCGTCAACTACGTCACCGTGGCCAGCTTCCTCCAGATGTGGCACATCGTCGACAAATGTACCGAGATCCTGAAGCGGCCGCGTCCGTCGGCGGAGCCTGGCGCCGCAGCCGGGTCGGCGTCCCGCCAGCAGTCGCCCAGCAGCACTGAGTGCCTGTACGCCGAGCGAGAAGGCCGCCGCAGGGACAGGAAGCCGGACGCGCTGCCGCCGCTGGCAACGTGGCGGCGGCCGCAGCAGGAGGCGAGGTGGACCCGGCCGCGGCCATCCTCCGAGCAGAACCCGGCCGACTCCCAGCTGGACGGACTCCCAAGTTACCCGGACAGAGAGCCGCCCGGCTGCCAGGAGGAATGGATCACGAGCCCGGCCAAACCGGGCCCGTCGGGCCACGACGGACCGGGCCAGAGCGGCCGGTACCTGGGCATGGTTCCGGCTGCCGAGGCGCCAAAGCAGAAGGTCCGGTTCCAGCAGCGCGGAGAGGAGACCCAGGAGAAGAGGAGGAAAGCCATGAGAGAAACGGAGGCTGATGAAGGAGTCGGGGAGGAAGAGGAGGAGGCGAAGGACGGCTTCACCCAGATCGGTAGGAACCAGAGGGAGAACGGAAAACTGCACAGGTCAATCCGGACCGCCATGATAGAGAAAACTAAAGAGGAATGCATTCCTGCCACAAACTCAGAAATTTTTGATTAATCTCTGAAATTTTCTAGAAAAGACAAGAAACTTTTTGAGTTTGAAAAAAAAAAATGGCAAAATCTCAGAAATTTTCTAGAAGAAAACTGAAACATTTCTGGTCCGAGTTGAAAATTAGCAAGAAAAAACTCTTTAATTTCTGAGATTAAATTGATCTCCTCCCCACTCAGCTGCTCAGAGCGACGCTGGTGAAAATGTTGTTAATAGAGGACCCAGGATGGGCTGACTTCCTGGAGGCGGAGCTTCAGAAAGAGCAGGAGCTTCTTAAAGAGACAGCGGCCCAATTTCAAGGAGTTAAATTAGGAAGTCAAATTTCTTTTAAGTTATATTTGATATGTACAGCATTTTGATAACAACTGAAGGTAACATAGTTACTTCAATGGCACCATGTGCCTGGAAAACACAAAATACCTTTAAAGGTCAAAGTTCAGCTCTGAGCGTCTTCTTGGCTGCATTTTGAGGCGTTTTCCTATTTTTCCTGCAGATCTTCGGGTTCCAGGCGGCGCTGAGGATGGCGGGCGTTCTGCTGGGAGGCCGACTCTGGATCTGTTGAAGGACAGACTCCAGAGAGACGACCCGTCCTCTCAGGTCCACGACGTCCCCGCTGGTGGACCGGGCGCTCCGGGTCCGCCGTGCGGCTCCTGGCCCGACGAAGAGGAGGAAGATGATGGAGACGTAGACTTGGAGTGCTTCGGCTCGTTCGATGAGATCGAGGACGGGACGGGACACGTCTCCCAGCGTCCTCTGCTGTCCCCAGACTTCAGCATGGCGGATGGGAACTGGCCGTCGTCCTCCGCCGCGTTTCCTCCCCCGCCTCCCTCCCCGCCGACGCCATCCTCCTCATCCTCGGCGTCCGGCGCCGGCGGCTACGCGGGGAAGGTCCACCTGTGCCACTGCGGGAAGGCGTACACGCTGAAGAGCATGCGGGACCGCCACGTGAAGATGCAGCACCTCAACCTGCGGCCGTTCGGCTGCCCCGTCTGCACCAAGTCATTCAAGATGAAGCACCACCTGACCAAGCACCTGAAGACCCACGGCGGCCTGCGGCCCTACGAGTGCAGCCTCTGTGGGAAGAAGGTGGTGTGGAGGGACAGCTTCCTGCGCCACCAGGCGCGGTGCCAGAGGCTGGCCTCTGCGGGCGGCGGCGGCGCTACGGCGACGGCGGCGGAGCTGGAAGACAGATATGGGTTGGGGTTCGATGACGGGGAAGTGTTCGTGGCGGCGGGACAGGTGAAGGTGGAGGACGATGGGATGGGCGGACTGCTGGGCGACGTTCCCGGGATCCTGGGAGCGCCGCCTCAGGATCTGGGCTCTGTTGGTCATGTCTTCAAGGAGGAAGCAGCCGAGCGATTCAGTGAGACCTAAAAGTCCTCCAGGAGTCCAGGCTGCAGGAATCCTGAGCTCTGCTGCCAATTTCCTCTTTGGAAATTAAGTTAATTTGCTTTTTGCACATAAGTTATTAATTTGAACTGAAATAAATGTATTAAAATGTTTTTCTGTCAGTTTTTGTCTGTGACGTATTTAATCCTTTAATCCTAGGGTCTTCAAGAGACGTCCAAACTGATGGAACAAGGACCAACTACACATATTTAAAAATTACATATATAAATACATATTTATGTGTGTACATATACTCAAAAGTAAATGGTGTATTTGTTTATCTTTACTTTTTCCAGTATATACTGGAGAAATATATTCGCATTGAAATTAAATCTGAGCCAAACATTTAATTAAGATCTGTTGGCATAAATTAAAAATAAATAAAAATGTATTTTAGACAACTTTATTGTACATTTTTAAGAAGCATTTTATGAATAATCATATAGCATTTAAATATGGATAAGAAATCTATAGAGTGACATGTTTTAATAAATTAATGATGCATTTAAATAATATATTGTTTGGCACTCTTCAGCCTCCATAGGAGCCAGGACTGGAGCAGCAGTTTAGTCAAATCAAATCAAATCAAATTTTATTTGTATAGCACATTTCAGCAGCAAGGCATTTCAAGGTGCTTTACATAATTAAAAACAAATAAAAACAGCATGTGACATTGAATAAACAGTAAGAAAGAGAAGGAGATTTTGGAAAAATTACTTTTGTTACGGAATTTAATCTCCTGTCGTCGCCGGACTCCGCCGTCCGTTTAACACGAGTATTATCCAGGCCCCGTCGCCTAACAGGACAAGGTCTCCAACCTTGCAGCACCAGGCTCCGTCCACCTATCACACGAATTTTTGCGCCAGGACTTCGCCGTCCTACACGGATTTTTGTGGACTATTTTTACCTGTTAGAGTCTAGAATTTACAGGGGTAAACTTTGAAAATTTTAATTGTTCTGAGGACCAGCCAGTTTATCCCTAATATATTTTAGGGATAAAAACTAAAACAGTATTAGAGATAAACTGGCTTGTTCTATGTAAACTTAAAAAAAAAGATATTTTCTTCAGTCATACACTATAAAACATAAATCAAAAATTTTACTGTTTCTTCAAATTATTCTAAAACTGTACTATGGATAAAACAAATGGTGCTATCGACATGAGTTTTTAGAAGTTGAGTTGTATGGGGTTCTGTTTGGACTGGAAACTGGCAACCCTGTCGAACGGCGCCATGTTTGTTTTTTTATGAGCTTGAGGCGCATGCGCTATACAGGGTAGCAATATGGCGCAGTTTTGACGTGAGCGGTTGAAATGAGAGGCACTTGGCCACAGAGACATGAAACCAGCATCCTGGAACTCGGATTTGGGAATGGTCTTTCCTCCCAAGACCCCCAATCTGCGTTGACTGTCATCTTAAATGACTGAGAACATTTGCGGATCTACCTGAAATCATCGCCGCGTTGATGCGGCTTAGTAACCTGACGTCGCCATGTTTGAAGTCGCTGCGTCTGTTATTCGGTAAGTTATTTTTCGGAAACCTTTTTTTTTTTTTTTGTCCTTGATAAAGTTATCGAAGCCATTTCTGTGTCTAAACAGAGCAGCTGCCTGAGGACGGACCGACCATGGCGTCTCAGCAGTGGTTTGTTTGGCTGCTGGCATCACTGAAATATGAGGAGAACAAAATGGCGTCCTGAGCTGCCAGCAGATGGATTATGGACATACTAAAGAGACGCAGTGAAGCTGAGGATGTCTACAAGCTGCCTGGACATTCGCCCGACCCATCAACGGTTGGACAGGTCAAACAACTGTTCGATGGCGGGTCCAGAAATCTCAAGGTACTGTGGGTTTTGCTATGCTAACGCTGTTGTTGAAGGCCTTAGCTAGGCATCTTGGTTTGGTTTGACTCTGCTGAGAGTTTGAGCTGATCAGGAATCTAATGTTGAAAATCCAACTGACTAAGTTTTTTTGTGCTGTTGTGACCTGTAGGTGTAATTAGCATGTTGGGATCTGAAGTTCATGGTTGAAAGTCAGTTACGGAAAAGAAAGATGGCTGCCAAGGATTTGGCAAATACAGTTTAGTGGTAAGCTTATGCTTTGTAAGTAAACCTTTAACATATTTACACATCATCAGTGATGGTTTAATGTGGCTATGTTGACATCACTAAAGCTGTATTAAGATATTTATCTCTTTGATTATTTTTTAAAAATGTTTTTGGGTGAAAATAAGATCTTTCATTTACAATTAAGCATGCATACCTTTTTTATTTTGTATCTACTTAATATTTAGTTTGAAATTTAAAATATTTCAAAGGCAGGGTTCATACTTTAATAATTAAATATCTCAATTTTATTTGCTTTCAGCAATGTAAATTTAAACGTGAAAACCAATTTATTTTTGCGCCAAAACAATGTGCGGCCTTGTGCAATTTAATTTCTTCTGGATGAACAGTTGGGTGATGGCAGCATCATGTCAGCTAATGTCCACTTATAGGAAGGAACCACAGCCAATTCGAACGCAAGACCAGGTGTAGCTTCTACAGACAGAAAAATAACAGAGAAAACAAAAACTTAACAGTTCCTACCAATACTATCCATTCATATAGTAGAAGGGCTCTTTTACTCACAGTCCTTAAATGTAATTCAAATTAAAATCTGTCTGTAAGGAAAGGAACAGGAAGAAACCCACAGAACCAAGCTGATTGAAGGCAGCCATTTTACATCAGTTAATACTGTCAGGTCTTCCTCTTCCATCACTGGTCTAACACCAGAGCGCCACCTTCAGGCCTCTCTCCAGATCAGCTAAGCTGTTTCTGGTTTGTCCCCTCTGGGCTGCCACCTTATCGTGGTGGGGGGGTTTGTGTGTCCCAGAGATCCGAGGAGCCATCGGAGGCTTCATGCCTCTGGTTCGGTTGGTCTGCTGGAGAAACGGCTCCTATAGGGATCAGACCAAGAACAGCCCAGACTAGAGCTAGAGATATAGATATAGATACACTAAGGAAACCTGCTGACTTTAACCATTCTCTCCTCCTGACAGCAGGGTGTCAAAATGAAGAGGAAAAATTCCCCTTTAACTGGAAGAAACTGTAATAAAACACTTAATATGTTCCAATGAGTTTGATGTAAGGTATATTAACTTTACATTTGTTACAAAAAAATCTCTGGGGCCCTCAGAACCTCATTAACCCCTTAAAGGCTGAGTTGTAGTTGTACTTCTGACGGTTCCCAGCTGAGCGAGCGGTGAGGCATTTCTACTCGATGCGCAGATTGCTGCGGTATTCTCCTGAGACGGTGGACGACATTACAATCAGAAAGCTGGTGAAAATGGGGAGAAACGCTTGACGCCATGTTTCAAAAATGGAGACGGAGACCTCAAATCGTAGCAGTGTCAGGTGTAGTGGCGCTTCTGGTGTCACTGCCACAGCGTGAGAATGAAGTTTTATAGAGTAAATGAAATTATTAACACATAGACGTACAACCTCCACCGATTTGGTGTAGATTTGTTGTGCTCTCAGTTCAGAGATAAATTTTTAACAGAGAAGGTCTTGATGTGGGTGACGCATCGCTGTGATGACGCCGAGCTCTGGTGGCGTTGGCAGATGGTCGGCCTCCAGAGCGTTTCACAGCAACCTGTGGGAGCTTTTATGGAACAATGGGATTCTTTGTCAATGAGAAATGCTCATAATGAGTCTCTTCAACAATACTTCATGTTTATGTTCGTATCAAAATGCTGTTGGTGCTCAAATCTCTGTAAATTAATGAGATAATGAAGTAGTTGACCAAGTGATGTAACTAAAACTACAAATAATTTGTGTTTATTGTTCTCAGCAACCAAAAGGGGGGAAGTTAGTTACTCTTCTTCCATGTTTTCTAAGCATACTTTAAACTAGCTAAACAGCTAGCTAGATGGTTGGAAGGCAAGCTAGACAGATGGCTAGCTTGTCAACTAGCAAGCTGTCTAACTAGCAAACACGTCAATAACACAATTTTCTGTTGAAGATTTTCTTTGTACAAATAAGTTTGGTACAAAAGTTACTTTTAGTGTCTTTGACCATCAAAACCATCCAACAAGCCAAATGACCAAATGCTCTCTAACCAGCTAACCTGCAAGAGGTTCAACCAAAAGGCCAGCTAGCCAAAACGCTGCCCAGACACCAAATCAACTAGTTATCTAACAATGTAGTCTCTATGGTTGTAATTTATACATTAAATTGTAATTGGCATTTAGTTTGTATTTATATCATTTTTAGGACTTTGTGTTTCTTACATTCATTTATGAATAAACCCCAAAACACATTAGATAGATTCCACACATGCTGATGTTTTTACGCCTTTATTCTTGTTAATATTGATGATTTTCTGCTTTTAGTGAATGAAAACATGACATTTAAGATTAGAACATCACATCAGACCAATAAAAATACTTTTAATACAGAAATGTGGTTTTAATGAAGAATGTTTAGCACCTGCTGACAGATGAGCCTCATCAGAATATTCTGATTTACTGAGATGCAAGTCAATATTCCTGACCTTAACCACCGCAGACATCGGTCTGTCGAAGGTTGGTGTAACCCCATGAAAGGTCCTGATATGCTCTATGATCCAGAAAACACACGCACTGAGTTTCTGTTTTTAATCTGATTTGGTTTGGATATTTCTTTTTCTATCTGCAGGTGTTGCACTCTGCCTCTCCTCCATATGTCTTTGTGACATAATCTAGTTAACTTTTTTCACATAATTTAAGGATAATTGACCAGCAGTGAGAAAAACTATGTATGCAACAAACAGGCTGGTTGGTGTGAAGCCACATTTACTGACCGTTAAAGACGAGACTGAACGAGTTTCTGCTACGATGCACAGCTGTTTCACATAAACATCAGGGAGGATAAATGGATATTTACAGTGTTTTTTCTGTTAGAACAAACTTATGAAAACAAATGAGAAATTATTTAGCACTTGAACCCAACATGCTGCCCTACAGTTCTGATCTCCTCACTCCGTCTAAAACCTCTGATTCACTTACGGTTTAACCATCAGCTCAGACGACACGTCTGCCATCTTCTCCTTAAAGCCTTCATTAGGATGCACAGATATCATGAGATTAGGAGTTAGTACAGTGCAGTGAAAAGGGCCATGTAACATTTAGCATCTTACAGTACCTCAAACATGAAGCTGCATCAAATCTTACCAGAACAGACCTATTTGATATTTAAATTGGCGTTTGAAGAGAGATGAAGTTCTGATTAAAACTAAACATCAGCGACAGCAACGACACGTCACTCAGGCAGGAAACCGAGACAGAACGAACCCGACAGCAGACGGAAAGCAGGAAGGTTCAGAAACATTCAAACATTCTTTAGAAGCAACAAAGTCAAACTTTACTTTTCTCCAGATTTTACAAAAATCTGTCTCAGTCTGGAGAAGCGTTGCGTTAGTCGGTTAACATTTGTTGAGGTTGTGGGTCTGACTCCTGGGGATCCGCCTCTCCTTCCTGGTGGTGTTCTGGTCCCGTTGGATCTAAGCGGTGGAGGTCGGCGGAGAGCTTAGAAGATGGTGCTCCAGCGTTTTGGGGGTGGACGGGACTTGGTTTCTCCCTGGACAGACGAAGAGAGGAAGGTTAAAAACAGTCATTCTCTCCAGAAAGACCGGGTGTCAGAAGCTGTTTGAAAACGGATGAATGATGGATATTTGCATCTACAGTCATGGGGATGAGAAAGTCCACAATCTTTCCAAAATCACCAATTTTTATCAACAAATGTTGCATTTCAGTCAGGTTGAGATCTGGACTTTGAGTAGACCATTGACAGCCCGCTGTGTTTGGGATTATTGTCCTGCTGATGACCCAGTTTGGACCCAACTTTGGCCAATCAGTGGCTGCAGAACAAGTTAATGGATGACGTCTGAAGGCTTCTGACGTTTGTTGAACAGCATCATTTTTTTAGGGACATCATAATAATAATAACCTTGATTTAACTAGGCTTGTCCCATTGTCCCCTTTTCCATTTGTGTAGAAAGCCCGGTTTGTTTGGTGAGGTGCGAATGCGTAATGGAACCAAAAACAAACTCTGGTCTGCCTACAAACCTTGGTCAGGGTTTGGTTGAAGTGAACTCTGATGCGGTTCCAATCCATATGTGAACGCCAAGTGGTCTAAAGCAGAAAATTGGACTACAGTGCAGGGCATTCTGGGTAAATGCAACCCAAACGTGCTAGCCTAGCGCTAGCGAGAGAAATGGCTCGTGGTCTTTAGCCAAAGACTAAAGAGAAATCTGCTAAAATTTGACGCCTCCATTTTAGTTTCCATTTTGTGAAGAAGGAAGTTGTGCTCAGTGTCTCCAGATGTTTTTGTTGTTTCCTTCAGAGGTTCGTGATGCAGCGCCCCTACAGGTCAGGAGGGGAACAGGTTGAAAAATGTTGCACCTTTGGTCTAAAATCGAACAGTTAGGAAAATACCTGTAACTATTTTCTCTGAACCTTAAACCCAACTGTACCATCAACAGGTTAGACCTACTGCAACTTCATATTTATTTTTCTTTGTCCAGAAAAATAAATATGGACATCACCTGGATGTGCTCCACATCATCAGGCCTCAATGACTCTGCAGCCTTCAGATGCCTTCTTGATCCAACTCACCTGAACCAAAAGGTGAAAGTTCCTCAGAGCGCTGATGATCTACTTTTTGATTCAGGTCTGTTGAAGCAGAGAAACGTGGAAAGTTTCAGGTCTGGAGTTTGACACCTGTGTTCTTCCTGTCCTGGAAAACCATCATTCCTCCACCACCGTGCTTCTCACTTGGTCTGCTGTGTTTGGGTTTCCTTCATTTTGGTCCATTGTCTCCTCTCTGGCCTCATCTGGCCCGAGGACCTTGTCCCAGAAGTCTCGTCGCTGCTAACCTCAATCCGGCAGCCATCTTGTTTCCTTCCTCCATGCTGGATCAGTGTCCTGACCGTTAAGCAGCTAACGAGGCCTGTGGAGTCTCTCTGAGCTTCATGCTGAGATGCTTACCTCTTGGAATATTTGTTTTATGTAAATTTTTTAAAATAATTTTTTTCCCATTTTAATTTTTTTTCCAATTATTAAACTTTTTTTTAATTTATATTTTTAATTTTTTACATTTTAAAAGTGTTTTTTCTTCAACTATTTTGTATGTTTAAAGATATTGTTGGAATAATCTTCCTCTCTGGAGAGCGATGGACAGTGGTTTGGAGATGACCTCTGAACTTTCCCAGATGGTTTTCCACCCTGGCGTTGTCGGCACAAACCGACACGCCGCATCCAAACCGCTTAATCCAACCCTAAGAGGAAGGGTGTACTTACTTTACTGTTGCAAACATTTGTGTTTTGTTTACTTCTAGTAGGATTGGAAGATCTTTAGAACCTTCTGAATGAAACGGGGTGTACTTTCTTTTCCCATGGCTGCGTGACGTTTCAGCATAAAATGATGCTGCAGCTTTGCAGCTTGTTAGGTGATGATGATGATGAGGCAGATGTAAAGCTGATGGATTTAGCTGCATGGCTGAGCTGCTGGTGAAGCTACTCACTGATCTCGGAGGAGAGCGTCACTGATGCGTTTGCGTGAACACAGACAGGAAAACGTGCTTTTGAAGCCCAGACTCACAGGGAGAAAACAGAAACTTTAAAGGAGACAAACATGCAGGCAGCTCACCAGGTTGAAGATCCTGGACAGCGTGCTTTGTTCTCTGCGTCTCCTGACCGGCGACTTCGTGCTCTCAGTTCGCGACGCAGAGGCCTGGAAAAAGACCCTCAGTGAGCTGAAAGCTCAGCCTGATGTATTCATCCATTTTACTGACTTATCGCATGAACAAACTCATTCAGGTGTGATTTTTAATACAGCTTCTGATTCAGTAGAAACAGAAATTTTCTGGACATTAGTGGAAAATCTACAAAGTTTTGTAAAGGAAAAGCAGCTAATGCTAATCTGCTAATCTCTGTGGGAACAAAGATCATCCCAGCAGCTGCTGCTGGACCAAAACCATCAGCAGGTTCTCGGTTTGTTCGTTCTCCACACCAAACACATGCATGAAGTCTCACATGTTTCAGTTACAAGGACGACTTTGTGTGTTTTAAAGAAACGGTTTGTGTTATTGACTGAGTTTAAAATGAGATTCAAAACTTGTTCAATTGAGTTTCTTGTTTTGACACAAGTTTTATATCTAATAAGAAGCTTTCTCGTTTCAGACAAAAACTGAGATGAACTTTATATCTTATGACAAGTTTTTTCATTTAAACGAGATGCTGTTCCTGAATTTATTTCCAATATCTGGCAGTTCAACATTTCTGTAGATTTGCCAGGCCTGAGCTGAACTTTCTGACTATATTTAATGAATTGCAGAAAATAACATCCACTGCTCATTGGTACCAAGTTTCCTCTGAGGACAGGAAGTGTGAGGATGTAAATGTTTAATATTTTCTAAAGCTGTTTTCTTCATGGCTGCTACGCTGAAAGAAAAATGGCTCATATGTTTGGTGCCTCTGCTGCAGCAATGTTTAAACTTTTACTGCAGCAGAATAACGAGTGGAAGAAGAAAAACAGAAACATTCGTCAGGAGGGAAAGAAACGGGGATGAGAAAGTCCAGAGTTCTGAGAACAACCGTCAAATTGCTCTGAGAGATGAAACGACACAAAGGGAGGGTTGGTGAGTTATTTCTGGCACTAAGGAGGTGGAGGAGTTACACAGAACAAGAAGATGAAGAGGAGGAGGAGGAAGGAGGAGCAGGCCGAGAGCTCCTATAAGAGAAGGTGTTTACCGGGTCATAAATAGCCGAGCGGTTTCAAAGTAATCCAGAAGCAGCGAGTCGCTCTGGATGGAAGCAAACGAGGAGGAGAGAGGATTGTTCTCAAACTGAACAAAACCGTCTGTTAAAACAATCAGTGTGTGAGTGAAGGGGGCGTTTCTGAGTCATGAGGTCCCACTGGGCGCAGGGTATAAAAAGATGGCCGACGTGGGACTGAAAGCAGAAACGGGGACGCGGAGGTTAGCAAGTTCTCCACAGACGGTTTTAATCAGGGGTCACTGCACATGCTCAGTTCGACTGTGTCACGTACCAAACCCAAGACTTCTCTCCACTGGACATGAAAGAGAAACAGACAGTGAGGTCAGAAACAGAACCGGGTCAGAGCAGAACCGCCAACAAATCAAACCGACACTCTCACCAACAACTCGTCACATAAACTGACCAAATGTTATCCCTGATGTTTGGATCCTACGGCTGCATTCTCACCAGTCCGTTTTCCCAGAAAGTCCGGTCCGGTTGGTGAGGTGTGAACGCTAACCGACCTCTGACCTCTGGTCCTCCAAACCTCGGTCTGGGTTCGGTTGAAGTGAACTCTGGTTCGGTTTGAATGTGAACGCCAAGCGAACTGGAGACCGCTCCAGAAGCAGGAAGTGGACTACAGCGCAGGGCATTCTGGGTAAATACAACCAAAGCTAACGTGCTAGCCTAGCACTAGCAGCAGAAATGGCTCCTGGTCTTTAGCCTAAAGAGAAATCCTCCAACCGCTAAAATCTCCATCTTGTTTCCATGGTGAAGAAGGAAGTTGCTCTCGGTGTCTTCAGAGGTTTTGGTGTCGTTTCCTTCAGTGGTTCTTGGTGCAGCGCCCCCACAGGCCAGGAGGGGAACAGGTTGGTTTGACTCAGAGCCACAGCAGCTGGAGGTGGAGCAGATGTTCTGGTTCCAGTAGAACCGGGTCTACTGGGCTATGAGGAGGAAAACCATGATACTGATTTGCCTGGTCTTATATATGACAGTAAATGTGAATCTTTGGACGATTACTCGACTTCAGCTTAGGCTCAGGCAGTAGTGTAGAAATAAGGAATACTGAATATTGCTTGAACTTGATGTTTTTGATAATTTTTGTGGAAAAATGCAGGGATTTGTTGATTTTGCATGAATTTCCATGATCGTATAATCGCAAAAACCTGGAGGGACCAACGATGACTAAACCCAACAGGTGCCTGACTGCATCCATGTCACCGATATGCTGCTGCTGCCTCTGTTCTTCATTCAGGACTCAGTAATCACCATAAAGGACTTTGAGGAGGCTCCGACTCCTGCAGAGACCACTCCGTTTCTGCTGCCTGGTCTTTAATACTCCACCAGGGGAGATCACACCACTAGAAATAAAACTAAACTTAGCGCTGCAACATGAATGTGATGTTAAGAAACTGAATCTGCTCTGCAACAAATCTAGACAGTAAACTTTGGATTAAAAGGAGTTTAATTGGATTCCTGCTGAGTTTTCAACAGAAGGTATTTGTACTTTATGGAGCTTCAATGAGAGACTCATAAATGTTTAGAGAACATTTTAATCTCCTTTGTGACGCGCTTTCTCTGAAGAACTTTGCGCATTTCACTCTGTGGTGCATTCTTTAAAGCTGCCAGCAGATGGCAGTAAAGCCAGAACTGCTGAGCGTTCTCAATAATCAGAAATCTTTCCTGGATTCAAACTCGTATCATTTTAAAGCATTTCTTTCCTCTAACTTCACCCTGCAGCTGAATGTGGGGAAACAAAAAGTGAGACTCACCGTGGATTTAGGAGGCGGGGAGGAAACCTGCAGGAGAAACACCAAAGCAACAACAACAACAACAGCGTGACTGACTGAACAGGGCAGAGAAAACACAACAACACGCTCTGATGGACGTTTCCTGCAGGTTTTCATTTTTAGTAAGCAGGTGAAAGAATCAAGCAGCTTTGCAATCAGTGCAGGATGTGAAGGAGCTGCTGCTGTCCTGCAGGAAAAAATGCAGGAAATTTCCAAAAATGGAGTTGCTGTTAGGATGCAGATTAAGATGAAACTTTGATGTGAAAGCAGAGAAGTTAAATGAGGAAAGTGTGACTCACAAGGCTCCTGAAGAAATGCACCACGGCGTTTTCATTGGTCCGACGACGGGCAGAGGGCTGCTGGGGCGAGGCGGCCAGGTGACCCCTGAACGAGCCCTGAGCAGGTCGGACGCAAATTACAGAAACATTCAGCAAACAAACAAAGTTCAGAGTTCAAAGTGGAGCGACCAGCATCCTGTAAGAGGTCAGTCAGGCTGAGACAACTGCGTTAATTTAGTCGTATTTACAGAAAACGAGTGATTTAAAAATAAACAGTCTTTAAAAATTATATTTTAATCAGTTTCATGCACACAAATGTAGCCTTGGATTTTTATTAGCTGCATAAATGTTTAAAATCTTAAAATGTATAACATGAAAAAACATACTTTATCTTGAAGTATGTCTATAATTACTAAACTAAGTGCTCCGATCCACAATATGCTGAAAATAAAACCCCTAAAATCAAAATTGCACCAACAGAAAGGAGGAGGAGTACAAAATTAATTTTAATAATTGTCAAACAAGTTCTTTGATTTCCTGAAGTTCTCAAAATATTCCCACAAATCCCAAGACTGGAAAGATTCCTATCATAAAGTTTAGTGGATGGAAGAACTCCAGAGCGTGCAGCTCGCCATGAGGAGGCTGCTGCTCCAGACTCAAAGCTCACCTTGCTCCTCTTCTTCTTCTCTCCTCCAAACAATTTGCTTAGCTGATCCATCAGACCGGGACTCTTCTTCTTCTTTCCAAGCCCGAAGCTGCTCTGCCCTGAGGTGCTCGCTGTAGCCATTATATCTGCCGCGGAGGGTTCTGGTTCTGATCCGCTGCCCACGCTGCCAACACCCAGCTGTGCCGCTCCCTCAGGGTGTGTTCGGCCCGTCTGACGCGGCCGGGGCGGGCCGTCGCTCCGTGTCATCGCCTCGACCCCGGAGCGCCGCGGGGCGGGTGAGGTCGGGCAGGGCGGAGACAGCTGGCCTGGTTCTGGTTCTGGCTCCGGTCCAGACATTCTGTGTCAGTCGCTGCCGCCCTCCACACGGGTCCGGCCATTGTTCCTCACCCCATCTGTCTCACCCCGGCCACAGGGGACAACAAGGGTTATCTCTGAGGCTGAACTCACGGCCCGATGCAAAGGAGCGCCGAGCACAGAGAGGCCATTGTTGGGCCGCCCTCAGACGTCTTGCTAATGCGCCGCGGCTAAATTAGATGGAAAGCCACCCAGATGAAGGCCTGGACCGAAAGCTGCCGATGCGCCGCGGCTAAATTAGAAAGAGAGAAACCCAGACGAAGGCCTGGAAACACAAAGGGCCGAGAGAAAACCTGGTGACCCCAACAAACTTCCAACCAGTCTTTGGTCCTTAGTTTTAATTCATCAAAGGTGGAGGTGGAAATGTTCCAGTGTGAGATGGGACCCAACCATGATTTACCCATCATGCAACGCTCAGTGGAGGCTGCAGCTATGATCTCATCTGCAAACATGAATGGTTCGATTTCTGTTGAGCTAATTAACTTTAGAAAGGATTAGCTGCCGTTAGCTTAGCCACATGCTGCTGTTAAATGCATGTTACTGTTAGCTACTTTCTTCAATTAGCCACAAGCTGCCATTAGCTACATGCTACTCTTATCCACATGCTACTCTTATCTACCTGCTGTTGTTAGCTACACATTGCCATTAGCCACATGTTGCAGTTTGCCACTAGCTGCAGTTACCCACCAGCTGCTTTTAGCCACAAGCTGCTTTTAGCCACAAGCTGCTTTTAGCCACACGTTGCAGTTAGCCACATGCTGCAGTTAGCCACATGCCACATCTTTTTTTGTTTTTAAATTCAAACGGCGGCCATATTGGATTTTGAGTTGAAGGTTGGTGAAAATATTCAGACCTTTTGCATTGGAACAAAAAGTTTTAAGGATTTTTGATCATTTTTTTCTTGAATGTTTGTCCTGCAAATGAAAGTGAAACAGAAAAGAGTTGCAGGGAATCTGGTGTTTATTCCCCACAGAATCTGTGCAGCTTCTGCTTGAGGGAGCATGAAGCTCCAGAAACGCGTTAGAGATGATTGGTCAAATGTCCAACAGCACAGAAAGTCCTGGTTCTGTTTGTTTGATCCAGTGATGCTGCAGCAGAACAAAGCAGCTTCTGTTGTTCTTCAGTTGGAAACACCCAAGCAGCAGCAGAATATTAATATTTTCACACAAATAGCTTTTTGTCTTGGCTGCTTTTTTATTTTTGCTCCAGAGAGAAACTTTTAGAGAAAAAGAGATTAAATTTCCCTGATGAGGAAACATATTTCTAGATGTTATCTCAGCCTTAACACAATTTCTGGAGAATTGAGGAATCATTTGACTTCATAAAAATCACAAAGAACCAAATCTTATTTGCATCTGTCTATTTAAGACAAGATTTAGCATCAGCATGTTGATGCTAACAGGACCAGGCTTCCTGGTTGCTGCAGAGCGAAGCGTCTCATGGTGAATCATCGGCGGCGGCGTTTGTTTCTGATGAAGCGATTCTGCTACTCCTCCAGCCTCAGAAACACCTCCACTTTTCATAACGACTCAAATCCAAGAGCAAAACCTTCTGACCTGTTAGAAACACTAACAGGTGTAGATTCAGACTGAGGTGATGATGAGCTTCACAGCAGCAGAAACAGGATTAGTTTAAAACCTTTAACTGGATCACGACATGTGACTGAAAGGCCTCTGTTTAATTTCCACTTTTCTTCCTTATATGTGACCAGAGCATGTAGGAGCTTTTAATTTGTAATCTAGGACTTCCTGTTTCTTTGGCCACTTTAGCCAATATTTCACATACAGGTGTAAAAACCTCACCTGGTGCAGATGATCCAAGGAAAAAATGTTGAACACCAAGAAGTCTGGTGGCTTCAAGATGGTCACAGGAAAAATGATTTCTGCACTAAGTTGTAATATTTATCACAAATACTTTTGGTGTGAAATTATACATAACTGGACCATAGATATCATATTTACTGTTTTTATTTATCTTTTTTTAATTTTCCAAAGTGACCCCACCATATTTGTCATGGAAAATTAATTTCTGCACTAAATTCACCAATCAGATGAATGTGCTTGGTGTCAAATCATAACCTACATATTTTAACCATAGAAATCCTATAGATTTTCTAAACCACTAAACACAACAGCAGAAGCTAACGCTAAGTTGCTCGACACATAAGAGTAAGTGGAAGCTAAACTGCAAAACGTACAGAAATATACTAGCTAATGCTAAACCTGATGCTCATTTGAGGAGGTCGATGCTAAACACAAAAGAATTACTGGAAGCTAACACTGAACCGCTAAAATGTTGATTGAGGCTAACGCTAAGCACATGAACAAATTGGCAGAAGCTAACCATGAAGACGACTGGCTCACGTCTCTCTGCCTGCTGTGAGGCTCGCTAACAGCAAAGTCCTCAGTTTCTGATTTTTCTAGATTTTGTTAAAGTCGCAACAATAAACAGTTGATGTGACAAAGTTAATCCTAGTCATGAAAAAGTGACATTTTATGGAATATTTGTCTTAAAAAGCTCAAAACTGTCAGCCATCTTGAAAATCAGTGATGTGCTGAACTGTCCGGGATGTTGAGGATTTGAGCTGCTCATCGTTTTGACTCGCAGGAAATCAAAAGTCCAATAAAAGTGGAAAAACACGAAGCCTGCGCTTGAACTCTTCCACTCAGGAATCCTGTGGGAGAACGCAACATGGCGTCCCGGTTTCCTGTGCAGTCAGGGAAATGTGGACGGGCTCCGGCGGAGACATGTTTGTCCTGCAGGACTCGACCCACGGGCCTGACAGAAGCATGCAGGGAGTGGGCCGGGCCCCCTGCAGGGCCCTGCGGTCCGGAGCGGCCGGGAAACAATGGCAGCCATGTCACAGAGCTGTGGGACTCGAACACGGGAGAGAGCCGTGAACCCAGGCAGGAATGCCGACGTGGAGCGGGACGCCCACTCAGAGGCCCGATGAGAGGAGAGAGAAAGGTTCCCTCTGTTCCCTCAGGTCCAGACCTGACAGCCCGGCTTGTTCTGCAGCTGCTACAGTTTGCATGACTCCTGCAACCTCTGCATGCAGCGGCGTTGACGTTCAGTTCTGATTTATTTAAACTCGCATAAAAACACAAAACCTTACAACGTATTTTTGGCTGATTGAAAATGTCACTGCACTTGAAATAAGACAAAAATGAACTTACACATAACTTTTCAGTAAGACGCAGAAGCTTCTTTTGAGTAAATAATTAATATTGAGGAAAAAAATACTAATTACTCTGATAGATTATTTCACTTATGGGAAAATGTCTTGTTATAAGGGAAACGATGTCAACTAAACTAGAACTTTCTCATCAGTATTAAGGAATAATTCACTCAAAACAAGTTTACTTTTACTGAAAAGTTGTGTAAGTCAGTTTTATCTTATTACATGCATAGTGAGATATTGACTTGGTAATATTTCATGTTTTGCAGAACAAAAACACTTATCAGCTGATACATTTTCTGTTTTAAACTATAGATATTTGACCCTGGAAATGAATTTAATACTTTATTTGTGCACCAAATGTTACAAAGTGCTTCAGATTAAAATAATAAAACATAAATGATGCGTATGAAAGTTTTTGTTTTTCTGGTTCTGACATAAAATCATTTTTCCTTCTTTCAATTTTATTCTTTCCTGCTGGATCCAGAAATAAAAATAACCTGAAATTTTACTTCAAATCATGAAAAGAGGAAAAAGCGTCTTTACATTTCCTCTTCTCAAAAACAACAAATTGAGAATTACTCCCTGATTTCATTTGTAGCGAACAGGAAAACATTTTGTTCAGAAAGTTGAGTCGCTTCCAGACGCCGTTTTTAACCTTTGGGGTTTTTATTTTTGCAGCTTTAGGCTGCAAAACATCTCGATGTAAATGTGTTGGATGCTGCCAGGTTGGAACCAGTGACTCAACCGGCCGCAGGCGGCGGCGGCTCGCTGCATAAAGCCGCCGTTTGTTCTGCAGCTCAACAATATCAGACTCTCTGTTTCAGAAACCTAAAGCCTGATGTGAACGGCTACCGCAGAGAACAAAGACAAACAGAAAACGGCTCCCTCATAAAAACTGAATTATAACCGTCACAACTGGCATTATTACAATATGGAAGAACAGGATCACCGCTTGCTTTTCTAATGCAGCAGCAGAATCAGATTTACTCTGTGGAGAAGCAGAAAATGTGATTTTACTTCCATATGGTAAAAATATTGTAAATATATAAGAACTGTTGATAAAACAAAGTTTTTCTCGTCAATAGTTTGAAGGAAGGTGTTTTTACAGAAGCAGAAGAGAAAACTGAAGTCCTGATTTCTGAGGGGAGAAACTGTCTTTGGCGCCACCTTAAGGTGAAAGTTTAAACAGTTTGTCTCCAGGATATGTGGGGTCTGCAAAGATGCTGGCTGCCCTTTTCCTGACCTTTGACCTGTACAAGTCCTGGATGGTGGGAAGGTCAGCCCTCCATCCATCCGTTTAGCTTGGAGCTAAATATTTAGTTTGAAAACTAAATATTTAATTAGCAAACTGAGCTTAGTTTACAAACTAAATATTTTATTTGCTAATCATTTAGTTTATTTAAAAGCTAACGGCTAGCAGCTTATAAACTAATGCTTTAGCTTGTTAACTGACAATTTAGTTGGCAAGCTACATTATTAACTTGGAGTTGTAAAAAAGTTAGTTTGCTAATTAAATATTAGCAAGATAAATATTGCAATATTTTGATTGTGGGCTAAATATTTAGATAAAAGCTACATAGTTAGCTTGAAACTACATATTTAGCTTGCATACTAAACAATTACTTTGAAAGCTAAATGTTTAGTTTTAATCACAAATTTAGCTTTTTGTTTAAATGATTGCCAAGGTAAATATTTAGTTTGTAATATTTAGCTCAGATCTAAATATTTAGTTGGCAAAAATAAATATTTAAGTTTTAGCAAAATGTTTAGCTTGCTAGCTAAATATTGAATTAGGCTAAATATTTATTTTTACAAACTGCTAGTTAAATATTTTGCTTGAAAATTAAATAAAAATAATTACCAAG